TATCAAATACATATTTTTCTGAGACCCATGAACAGAAGATATAATAATAATAATTCACATGGGAAATCAAGAATATACACACCCCTAGTATTTCTATGAATAGAGTCATTTATGAAAATTATGCATTTGCTCATTTCGTTTGAATCGTATTATTCATGCCAAAAGGAAAGAATGGATAGCCTTAACATACCTCAATTCCTTTTTTTGATGACTATGACTAGTAAATCCTTTTGATAAACATCTAACCTCGAATGCTCATATGAACTCGTTGAAGGTCATAAACGTTGGATCAAACATTGGTTGCATTCGTGATAGCTTCACGTTAATTTACATCACAATGAAGTAATAACCCAAGTCACTTTAAAACTTATGAACAAAATCATTAAGTAGGAATGGGACGTTGCTTTCTATAAGAAAGAGAGATCATTTGATGCCTTACAATTTTTGTCTTCTTAATGGAATTCTTAGGAAAATGAAATAAAGGTGCACATATCTTTAATGTTGCCACCACCTTCTTAAAGTCATGAATAGATGACATTTGCTGCCAAATTCCCATACTCCCACGTGGATGTTGTCCCCTAGTATTTATCCAAAATTCTCACTTAATTATTTATCTATGTAATGACCTGGCCGGTCATTTTGAGAATTTAAGTCTCGTTCGATGGCATAAGGCCCTGAGCAGCTTCATATTATATGTATTGACTTGCGTGCGTAGTTGAATTCAGTTATCGGTTGTTTCGGAATGATTTGGTACACTTAATCCCTAAAACGGAAGCTTAACTCTTAGAATTTTCACCGTAGTCGGAACTATGTGAAGACGACTCCAGAATAGAGTTCCGTCAGTTCCATTAGCTCTATTAGGTGATTATGGACTTAGGAGCGTGTCCGGACTGTAAATCCGAGGTCTGTAGCTGATTTAGGCTTGAAATGGCAAAAGTCGAATTTTTGAAAATTTGGACCGGAAGTGAACTTTTTGATATCAGGGTTGGAATACGATTCCGAGAGTTGGAACAACTCCGTTATGTTATTTGGGACTTGCCTGCAAAATTTGACGTCATTCTGGGTTGGTTAGATTGATTTCGGCACGAGTTTTCAAAGTTGAAAGTTTTGGAAGTTCATAAGTTCGATTCGTGGTGCGATTTATATTTTTAGTGTTGTATGATGTGATTTGAGACCTCGAGCGAGTCTGTGTTAGGTTTTGGGACTTGTTGATATGTTTAGATTGGGTCCCGGGGGCCTTGGGTGAGTTTCGGATGGGCTACGGGTCTTTTTCCCCTATTTTTGAACCGATGTTATCTGTCATCTGGTTTCCTTCATCGCGTTCACATCCTTGCCTTTGCGTTCGCGTAGTGTTATTTTGGAGGGTGAAATAATTCCTCTTCGCGTTCGCGTGTCACTTACGCGTTCGCGTAGCTATTCCATTACACTCTCCGCGTTCGCGAACGTGTTGTCGCGTTCGCGAAGAACAACTGGGCAGCTTTTGTTTCTCTTCTTCGCGAACACGTCCCTTTCTCTGCGTTCGCGATGCACAAAACCCTGGGCAGAATATAAAGTCCTCTATTCCGAAGGTTTGCCATTTTCACCATTTTTGGAGTTCTAGAGCTCGGTTTTGAGCGATTCCTTGTGGGTTTTTCATGCAAATCGATTGAGTAAGTGTTCTTCACCTAGAATTTATTTATTTCCATGATTCTATCTTTATTTTTATCATTTAATTTATGTTTTGAGTTGAGGAAAATGGTAATTTTTGAAAGAAAAATTAAAAATAAAAAATCACAATTTAAGAGACGAAATGGTATCGGAATTTGATGATTTTTGTATGGTTAAACTCGTGAGTGAATGAGTGTTCGTATTTTGTGACTTTTATACGATTCCAAGACGTGGGCCCGGGTCGACCTTTAGGGCGGATTTCGGGATTTTTGTTAAAGTATTGATTTTATTAATTAGATGAGTCTATTATGGTTGTATTCATGTTATGCAATTGTGTTTGGCTAGATTTGGGCCATTCAGAGTCGGATAATTGAACAAAAAGGGCATTCTTACGGACTGGTTGAGCTTGGTTTGAGGTAAGCATCTTGCCTAATCTTGTGTGGGGGATTTTCCCCTTAGGGTTGAGTTTTCTATGTTGATTGTAGTCCATGCATGCGAGGTGACGAGTGCGTGCTCGGACTTATTTGTGAAAAGTTGGGCTTTTAGGATTCTTAGGTCCTTATATTCACTGAGTATGAAGTTGTCCTTGATATGATTAAGTTTCTATTCACTAGTTTCACCTCTACATGCTTTAATTAGAATTAATTGCTTTCAGGATTCACTCTTATTGCTTATTTGACTCTTATTTGACTTAATTGTAAATTTTACCTCCTCTATTGTCATGCTATCTTTTCATAACTGCTTATCTTTATTTGAAATTATTATTATATTATCTTATAATGTATTCAGTCTTAATTGAGGTTATGATTATCTTTCCGCTGCTTATCCTTAATTAAATTGTTGAAAATCCTTAGTAATTTCTCAATCTTAAAAAGAAGTTTTAGATATCCTATATCTTAGTCGACTTATTTTATTTGGAATTATTTGACTCGTGTTAGTTTCCCTGTTGTTGAAATGTATATTGTGGGATCGTTGATACACATTAGTTTTCATTTGTTGAGTTGTTCTCTTTAGGCCTAGCATTCTTTACTGTGGTTATTCCTTGTGATTTGGTCCCACATTTTTCCTGTGATTTAAAAGTTCTTGAGTTGATTTACTTGTCGTACTTTGTATTATTGCCATTGTTGTTGTTGTATTTGTTGTGGTGATGCACGAGGTTTCTGCCATGCGGTTGTTATTATTGTGATGCACGAGGTTTCTGTCGTGCGATTATTGTTATGGGATTGCATGAGGTTTCTGCCATGCTATTGTTACTATTGATGTTTGCACATGCGGCGTGACAAGGTGGAATATATATGTGTGTGTTGCGCATGTGGCGAGACAAGGTAGGAACATTATTATGCACGTGTGGCGAGACAAGGCGGGCATTTATGTTACTATTGCATACGTGGCGAGATAAGGTGGACTGTGTCAGGGATTGATTTGTGATGATTTATGGCCTGGGGGCATTCTTGTTGTTGATATTTGTGTAATGGTATGCGTACCTATGTGAGATTTATCTTGTGAAAGCTGTGAGAAAATATTCTACGTGATGTTCGTTCTTCTTCTTCTTCCTTATGCTTATTTGTTGGTATGGACTATGTTAAGACACTTGCACAAGCATACACGTAGTTAAGCACTCTTATCGGATAAGAGGTGTTCTTGATATTGTTGAGCAAAGATGCTCACCCTTGTTTACTTGTCTTCTATGTGAGAATGGCTCTATTGGAACGTGAGTCGTCAGTGTGGTTATGAGGGCACATGATGCCCAGTGTTATGGTTTAGGTATTGAGACCCGTGAGTTGTGAATTGTCCGAGGTTTGGTACCTCGTGGAGTTGTTGACTAAAACCTGAGGTAAAATCGGTTGTAATTACTGAGTTATTACTTGTCCTTGTTGTATTCGTGATTCCGGATTTAGGTTGTGTTCTATTCACTTCGTCTGCATCATTTTCATGATATTTCGCTGATACTTGTTGTTTCTTGCTTTAATGCCATTACTGTATTGTGAGCCATATTGCATAGTCTTTATGTAGACATCATACTTTTGTTATTCATGTACTTATATCTGTTCGGTTTATTAGACCAGTGGGTGTAATGACTGTTTTTCGTCACTACTCTACCGAGGTTAGTCTTGATACTTACCGGGCACCGCTGTGGTGTGCTCATGCTACTCTTCTATACATTTTTTGTGCAGATCCAGGTACTTGTTTGTTAGCTATCTGTGTGGACTGTTGCTGTGGAGACTCAAGGTAAACCTGCTGCTGCGTTTGCAGGCTTCGGAGTCACCTTCCAGTTTTCGTTTTGCACTGTTTATTCTTATTTTTGGACAGTTGTATTTAGAGTTTTCTAGTAAACACTCTGTAGAGCTTATGACTTGTACTACTGGTTTTGAGAATTTTAAGAGATTCTATTTAAATAATATTGTTGTTTTAATTATTGTTAGGCTTACCTAGTCCCTAAGACTAGGTGCCATCACGATACCCAACAGAGGAAAAATTAGGTCGTGACAATCCACAAATTTCTAATTAATACCATAATTATCCCCATAATTAATCAATTATCCACATATTTCTCTAATTAATTAGGAATATCCCATTACCCAATAATTAAGAATTATCTCAAATTACTTAAAATACTACTCACTTTTAATACAATTTATACACCGTAATATCATGGTCATGTGGTACATTGTATGGCACTAGTCCATAAATATCAGGTATTTTAGCTCGGGTCGTATTTTATTCCAAAATGACAAACTTCAACGAAATTCATTTTCTTCGATTCGCTTACCCTCTCACCTTCACGAATTAACTTATCACTTGTTTGAAATTGCACAATACTTATAATCTCCAAATAATCTTGTCCTTGAACGGATGTCAATTATCTTACGGTAAATTCAACGTACAATACTACAAGGTGTAACATCGTCGTAACAAGTTACTGCGGAGCGTAACATCGTCGTAATAAATTGATGTGAAGTGTAACATCTGACATATGATCTATAAGAGACATTGTGTTAAGTGTTTCATCAAGTGGCATTGCATCTCTTTTGTTACCAGGTGGTAGAACAGCTCATTCGAGATTTGCAAATCCTCTCAATCCAACTGAAGATTAAACATGTAATATAAAGCAAGGTAGCCCTCTAGCAAATTTGATTATAAAGACAAAGTTGATTATTTGGGATGAGGCACCGATGATTCATAAATATTGTTTTGAAGCTCTTGATCAAACTCTTAGAGATATTCTTAGATTTAAAGACGCATCTAGTGCTGATAAACCTTTTGGAGGTAAAACAGTTGTTCTTGGTGGCGACTTCAGACAAACTTTGCATGTCATTGCAAAAGGATCTAGGCAAGATATTGTTAACGTTACTCTTATTTCTTCGTATTTGTGGACCCACTGCGACGTCTTAAATCTAACAAAGAATATGAGGTTGCAAAGAGATCAGTTAGATGCACACTTGGATGAGTTAAGAAATTTTTCTGAACGGATTTTGGCAATCGCTGATGGAAGGATTGGGAGTTCCATTGATGGCATTGAGAAGGTCCAAATCCCTGATGATCTTCTTATAAGTAATTGTGATGATCCAATATTGGCAATTATTAAAGCTACATATCTAGATTTCTTTAGTCATTCCAGTGACATAGATTACCTCCCGCAAAGAGCAATTCTTGCTCCGACTCTTGATATAGTGGAATCAATCAATGAATATATGGTTTTACTCAATCATAGTCCCGAGAAGACATATTTTAGTTCTTATACGGTTTGTATATCTGATCATTCTTTTTCAACTTTGGAGCACGTACATACACCATAATTCCTAAATAGTATTAAATGTTCTGGAATTCCAAATCACTCTATCACTTTGAAGGTTAGTGTTCCTGTGATGTTGCTGAGAAATATAGACTAATCATCACGATTGTGTAATGGCACGAGGTTGATCATCACAAGACCTGAAAATCGGGTTATTGAAGCCAAGGTTTTACATGGTAATATGGCTAGACAAAAAGTGTTTATCCCGAGAATGACGTTGACACCATCAGATGCAAGGATACCTTTTAAGTTCCAGTGAAGACAATTTTCAATTGTTGTATCTTTTGCTATGACAATTAATAAAAGTCAACGCCAGTCATTATCTCATGTGGGGTTATTTTTCAAAAAGCCAGTATTTACTCATGGACAATTGTATGTTGCTTTTTCAAGCGTGATAAGTAGAAAAGGGTTGAAGATTTTAGTTTATGATGATGATGTGTAAATAACGAATGAAGCTAGAAATGTGGTGTATAAAGAAGTTTTTCGTATTTAGTTTGAGATGAAGCTAGACATGGTGGAATCATCAGGTATTTACAAAATATTTTTTGATTTCTAGAATTGATTTAGCTTTTGAGTAAGTATTAATGTTTATTATATTTTTACTGTATTGTAGTTGTAAAAGAATTGATGATAATTATAAAATTCTAGAGAATTTCCTATAACAAAAACTCTCTTTTTGGTATACACATGATGCATGTATATCATTACAACAAGAAATATTTTTATTGGTCACACTCTAACATAATTGTCTAATGCCTTTTGAGCTAGAAAGACTTCTTTTACTTTTCCCATTATATAATAGATGCCCCAAATACTTCATTTATTATCTGCTTAGTGGAACATTATGTCCTTATCACGACCCAAAATCCAACTTGACGTGATGGCACCTAACCCCAACCCGCTAGGTAAACCAAATAACAATAAAACACAATATAATAATAATGCTAAGAGTCAAGAAGGAAATAAATAAATTTTATACAACTCCCCGAGGACTGGTAGTACAGATCATGAGCTTTTTTCTTCCATAAATTCACGGATTCATGATGTAAATGAATATGAAATCATGAAATATAATCAATATAGGATAAGGAATACTTACCCCAATATTTTTTCGTGAAAATCGCCCAAGAATCGCCTAAACCGAGCTCCATAAACTCAAAAATGAGTAAAAATGGCAAGAACCCGTTTTATACACCCTCAGCTGTTTCGAGCGTCACAGGTAGCGTGGGGCGCTGTCTGTGGCGCAGTTTCCAGCATCCCAAAATTTCCAGTGCCAGGGCTAGCGCCCCACGCTACCCTGGGCGCTCGCGGCGACGGAAAAATCGTTCTTGACACGAAAATAGGCATAACTCTCTCATACGATGTCCGAATTCAACGATTCTTTTTGCTATAGCTCCATAATTTCAATACGGATCGAATACTTCAATAAAAATTGAATTTGGAGCTCATTTGCGCAATGTGATACCATATATTCTTGAAGAATCGACATCAAACATTCTAGGTTCAATGCCGAAACATAGCAAATCATTCCGGAATGAACTCAAATTTTGCGTTGCATAACAAAGCTATTCCAATTTCAAAAATATAATTCCGACCTCGATATCAAAAGGTCAAACCCCGGTCAAACCTTCCAAAAATTTAACTTTCGGCAATTCAAGCCAAATTCCACTACGGATTTCCAAATAATTTTCCGGACACGCTCCTAAATCCAAAATCACCATACAGAGCTATTGGAATCATCAAAATTAAATTCTGAGGTCGTTTACATATAAGTCGACATCCGGTCAGTATTTTAACTTAAGCTTTAAACCTTGGAAATAGATGTTCCAATTCATTCCAAATTTCACTGGACCCGAACCAATTACCCCGACAAGTCACACAACAACTGTAAAGCCCAATTTTAGCAGTAATGGGGGAAGCAAGGTTATAATACTCAAAACGACCGGTCGGGTCGTTACATTCTCCCCCACTTAAACATACGTTCGTTCTCGAACGTGCCAAGAGTTGTCTCCAAGCCATCAAATCACCGTTCCATCTTACCACACACGTACCCGGGGGTGAACCCACGTCACCCTATTCCATATAGGCTTGACAACACAATCCAACTGAATTCATTAATTTAACTCTAGCCCATAAACCTTGGAATTTTATTTCCAACCTTTAGAATTTCTTTCAAGACACAAGTCTTAAACTTACACACCGTATAAATCCGAACAAGTTGCATCGAGCTATAACTATCACCACGGATATAATCAACCAATATATTACACAACTCGCTTGCTCGTAGCACCATTCCCGATCGCAGTGACTACTCCAAAACAAACCGCGTACTAGTATTAAACCCATATCGAACCAAACCTCATCCCAAAACCTTCGTACACTGTTGATAATAAAAGAAACACGCGAAATAAACAAGTCACAGAGCTCTCTCGCCCTAACCAGAACCATAATTGCTTTTTGAGCCGACTTTCAATATTATCCTCTCTAACATATCGTAATCAAATATGATAGTACCCATTCGAGGTCCAATGACATTATATTACTAAACATAACTATTTCCACAGACATGCCGCACCAATATAACTCAGAGGCACAACCCGTGCCATCTGTACACCAATACGCAACAATTCAAATGTACTCAGTCATGAAAAATGACTCAAATGAGAGAACTGCCCCGCAATATTAATAAGTACCGCCATAACGAAATGCTGAAAATTCATCATACACCGTAGAACCATCACTCGATTCTAACACAAGGTTCATACCTTAACATAGCTCCGCTGCAATGTGTGTCCCTATCCAAACGTTGGTCCATATAATATACCCCGAGCCACCCTGCTCAAAATCAATAACGTCGGAGAGAAAAATGACAAAAAAATATGACACAAAACCTGAAAGGACATAACCATTAGACAATCGATCATGCAATACCCAAATACTCATCACGCTCAAATTCGACTATAAAACTCAAATAGGACCGCACCATCTGTGCACATAACCAATGAATCACAACTCCTCGTAGCATAAAGGAGCAACTCACAGATCATCTCAGAATACAAATAAGCTCAACATCAACCGAATGACACATCCCTCAACAATAGCAGTATAGAGCCAACCATTCCGGCTCGGTGTAGAATACACATCTTAATTGGGCCTACCAATGGACCGCCAAATCAACTCGGGTTACCCATAAATAGATAAAAGTTCTTTCGAAACTCCATAATGTCTGAATCATAACACATTCTATCATCTGGCTAGCTCTGGCCACCACTTCACAATCCATAACCATGAAACAATCCGCTCTTGAGAACTCCCAATCTCCAAATCCATAGAACACGCGAATCACCATATTTGATTCCATCTCCACTGCCCGAATGTCTAACACCTCTCTAATACAAGATCATCCCACGAGAAATACTTAAAAAAATTCTTCTGTGCCACTTGTCAAAATTTGAATATCAGCATTCTATCAACAGTGTGAGTATCGCAATACCAATTTATACATCCGTAAGTCAAAATACAGTGCGTCTTCTGAAGTCCGCTCCCTTCTCATACAACACCAAGTAGTAATAGTATTCATCTAGACATCGAAAACTGTTCATGCCTCTAAGAATTTATGACCTCCCTTTCAAGGCTAAACCGTGACCTTGCATACGCCAACCTTAATCCCACACAACTCACCGCATCTATTATGACATCATGTGACAAGCACAAGAATCCCATTATCAACTTTGAGTCACTAATAATTTACATACCTTTTTAGTTAGAAACCTTTCTCTTGCTTCTTTCCAGGAGGAAATCACAATACATAACATGTTCTCCACACCGGTAGAAACCATCAAGAATATTTTGGAATCCATTTGCACATAATCAAGCCCTTAAAACTAAATACCTCTAACTCGATCAAGCCATGCAGATCGCCAAGTCCAGGTGTATTGTGACAATGCACCTGTAGAAAACCCCCACATCATAAGCACCCAAAGAACCGATCATATCAATTACCATACTGATCCAACCTACTACCTAGTTGTCCTATTTTCTCCGAGTCCCTTCCGAATTTGTCTTCAGATTGATACTTCTTCTTGCTAAAATACCATGATCTTTAACCACAACTCACCCTACAAACCTTAGCATAGAACCACAATGCCCTACGGCCCATAAGCAACTGTATTCTTCTTAAGCACCTTAAAAAATACCACAACTATAACACTCACTTTGAGAATACCTTATGCGAATTTGAAATTGTTCTTCTTACCTTCCTTATACAAAAATGTAGAATCCTTAGTCATATAGAATTTCCGCAAGTCCAGGCACCATCAAACGCAAATCTCGGATTTT